AGCCCCGCGCAGCAGCACGCGCACCTCCGGCAGCAGTCCTACGACGTGACCGACGAGCTGCCGCTGCCCCCGGGCTGGGAGATGACCTTCACGGCCACTGGGCAGAGGTACTTCCTCAAGTAAGTCAGCCTGGAGCAGACGGGGCACAGGGTCACGACGCCCAGGGTGCTCGTGTGTTCGTGGACGTTGTGTATGTGTGTGTTTGTGTGAGAGAGGGATGAGTGTGTGTCCCTCCACTGCTTCCCCACAGATCTGGAAGTATTCACTATTTAGGGAGGGTCCCTGTGTTGGAATTGCAAGCGAACAGGAGCAGAGGAGTCTGGCGAGGTTCATCCAAGGTACTCGAAGTCCTGAAAGATTTAAGACGCTCCTAGAAAATGCTGGGTTGGAGGAAGGGGATGCCTGAAAGACATAGGTGGCTTGGCTCTGCATCTGGAGAATTGAAACGGACACTCGAGTGCAGACCCAGAGCCCCTTTCCTGACCACCCCAAGTCAGACTGTTCAGAGCCAGGTCCATGGGGGACTGCAACTTTTCCTTCGCCACCAGCAATCTGACCAATACCTGGAGTGCGATTACCCGCACCCAGTACCCCAAAAGAGAAAAGTTGTGAGGCTTGGGAGGAAAGGGACTTGGTAGTGTAGGTTGTGTGCGGTCTCTAGCTTCTTGGGAAAGGCAAGCTGGAAAACCCAAGCAGTGCCTGGTAGGCGCCTCCTGCTCCCAGCTGGGTGACGTCAGAGCCACACTGCGAGGTGATGTAATTAGCAACTGCGTGGTGAAGTCGTTGTGGGCTGGACGAATCAGTTGTGTGGAAACTGGGTCAGGAGTTTTATTGTGTAGCCCTTGGTAACCTAAAATACCGTCAGACCACGAGTCTGCCTTTTCACTTATTCCCCTCCCATTGTCCCAGCTTTTTGACGTCATGAATTTTTGCATTAGATTCAAATTTTCGAATTAGACTGTACAGAAAGACAGATTCTCAAACACCAGGGAAGGAGGTTTCCATTGTGGTACCCTAAGATAATTCATTTCGTTTTGGAGGAGAAGCCAAGCTGGAACTTGAATGCACGGCAGGTCATCAGGGGTCAGGCTATCTCGGTCTAGGTGGCAGTCCTGCCAGCTGGATCACTTGGTCCAGAATTGCCTGCACTTGGCTGGCGCTCACTGCCAACCAGGGAACCTCCTCGTCGGAGGACCTGGAGTTCATGTGAAAGCCCATATATTTCTTTGGTGGAGTGGCCTTTAAAAACAATGTTAGAACATGATGTGCAATTAAAAAATAGAATCAATGTGAGACTTCCAGACGTTTGTAGAAAATAGAATTAAAGTGCAACTTTATACTGCTGGGAAAAAAAACCCAAAAACCACACATATTTTTTTTCCGCAAAATACACATTTCCCATGAATTTTTGAAGATTCTGCATGTTTGATGCTTTGCTAGCTATGAGGGGACCCCCTAGAACAAATCTATAGTGATGAATGAGGCTTATTCTATTCTTTGTCTCATACTGGTGACCAGTTCTTACTCCTTCCCCATCCTAAAGCTGTTGACATCGCGTGCAAGGAGGAATTCTGGTTAGTATAATGATCCTGAAAGACAGACTCGATGATCACTTATTCCATTGTTGGCCTTCTCTTGGTCTAGTGCTAGGATGGACATGTGATCAGTGCTTTGACTTATAAATGGCTAGCAGAAACCAAGTATGAGATGGCATGACAGTTTTCTTTTTTTTAAAATTATTATTTATTTAATTTTATTTATTCATTTGACCAGAGAGAGAGAGACAGAGAGAGAGAGACAGAGAGAGAGAAAGGGACAAAGGAAGCTGCCAGGTCCAGGAGTTGAACCATGGTCAGCCATGTGGGAGTGTCCAGCAACTTAACCACCACGCCACCTGCTGGTCCCGGCATGACATTTTTCTAAATGTGATATTATTCCAAAGGGTGACATTGCTTTCTATGGAACATTCAGGGCCAAAATATCTTTTTTTGTTTTTTGTTAACACCATATTACAACATGTGTAAATGAAGATTTGAATGTTTTATTGTGACTTTTATTGAAATTGACTTAGTGATAAATATAAAGATGGGGACCAGCAGGTGGCGTGATGGTTAAGGTGCTAGACATTCCCACATGGCTGACCAAGGTTTGAGTCCTGGACTTGGTGGCTTGCTTTCTCACTTCCCTTCTCTCTGTCTCTCTCTGGTCAAATGAAAATAAATGAATGAATAAATAAAATTAATTAAATAATTAGAAAAGGAAAAAAATGAAGAGACCCAGTAATTTTTAACATTTTAGCAGGAGTTCCTTTTTGGTCCCAAATAACTTCTTTTTTTTTTGAGAGGTTTTTGCTATAGGGCTCGAAAGACAGAGAGACAGAAAGCGAGAAATCACCCCCCGTGGGGATGGCCACGCTGTAATCCCTTCTCCATTCTCCTCTTGGGATCTTGGGCATGCACACACATGCACCTGGTGTGAGGTTAAGCTACCCGACCCAGGACTCAAACCGCTGTCAACTACATGGGAGGCCAGTGACATAGCCATTATGCCAACTGCTGGTCCCTGGTCCCAAATGATTTCTAATCTATGTTTATAAAAACACACCTCCACTCTCTGATTCTCTCCCCCCCCCACACACACACAGAGTATGTGTGTGATTTTCATGAAATCTACCCATCACTTTGCCCTATCATCTGTGAAATGGGACTAGCAGAAGAATCTTATTCTTGACTCTTTCGGGGGTTGGGGGCTTTATAAATCATAAACCAAAAGATTTTAGAATTGGCAAAGGTCAGCTTTTGTTTTTGTTTTGCTTTTGACTAGCAAACCAAGGCAGGCCATGTGACTTTGGAAAATCATATGGTTATTTAGTAGTAGACCCTGGGCTGGACCTCTGACCTTTTGCTGTCTCCTTAGGAACAGTTTTTTGTTTCCCTCACCCCCCCACCCCCATTTCCTCATGTCACAATGAACTTTATGGGAAGCAGAGACTGGATCCAGAGAAGCTCTAATCAACCTTTTGTCATGTTCGCCGGTATTATTGGTGCTAGGTATTGCATAATGTAATCACTTTTTGCTGCCTTCTACAGGGCACCTCTTCTGAGCATTCACACCTCGCTGGTGGTGCTCAGGTATTCCTGTAGCGAGGGGATCAGGTGTTAGAACCGTGCTGTGTATTCCTGCGTCCTCTAAAGCTCAGAAAGCAGGTTGGAGTGCGTAGGTGTTAGGATCCTAGCAACCTGGCACCCTGATCACGTTACATTTTTAGTAGTTTTATAAATAGAGTGCGTATTTTTTGTATATAAACCAGAAAGTGGAGAATTATAAAGAAGAAAATGATGTAGCTTCAGTGGAATTGTCCATCCTTTTTTTTTTTCTTACATTGTTTTTTTAGGGGTTTTGCCTTAGGGTGCATGCACTTGCTGGAGAGAGGTAGAGACAGAGACAGTGAGAGGGAAGGTGAGAAATTTCCCTCCATGGAGGATGGCCACACCACAATCTTTTCTCTTCATTCTCCTCCTGGGGTCTTAGGCACACATGCACACTTGACCTGTGTGAGAATTTTTTGAGAGGTTTTTGCTATAGGGCGCATGTGCTCACCAGAAAGACAGAGAGAGACAGAGAGACAGAAAGCGAGAAATAACCCCCCCCTCCGCGGGAGGATGGCTGCAATCCCCTCTCCTCCATTTTCCTCTCGGGATCTTGGGCACGCATGCACATGCGCCCGATGTGAGTTTAAGCCACTGGGTCCTGGACTCGAACTGTGATCGACTACATGGGAGGCCAGTGACATAGCCATTATACCAACTGCTGGTCCCGCCCCGCATGAGTTTTAAGCTACCGGGTCTGGGACTCGAACCACTGTCAGCTATGGGGAATCCAGTGACATAACTGCTATGACTTCGGCTGGCCCCAGAATTGTCCATCTTGATTCTACAAATATGCTTGCATAACATCATTATTTAAGGAAAAAAGACTTTATCCTACTCTTAAGTACAGTTCCCACTCTGACACTTGACTTCCACTCCTCATTTTTAGTCATTACTTTAGTGTTTTGCCTTTTCTGAAATGTGCGCTAGGGAATTATTTTTGTCAAAGTCATTTACGGAGTTGGTAATAACTCCAGTAGCACAGAAGGACTTTTGTTGAAAAACAATGGTTTCCTTCACCTCCTCACACTCACAGAGGGCATCTTTTAAGTTTTAGACTTGCCCATTGGAGTTGATGTCAGGACTCCTGGGCCAATCAAAAGAGGCTACATCCAGCACCAAAATCAAATGGAGTTTTTCCTTCTCATTCTTCAGTAATTGTTTAAATTTGTATCACCATTTAGTTTATGTTTGGGTCATGATTTTTAAAAAATATTTTCTTTTATTATTTGGATTGCTTTTAGTGTGCTTATACATTATTTGCCTTTATTATGATCTCAAAAATCTGTAGGCTTTCATTCTCACACCTTAATATTTTTAATTTTATTTACTTAACTTGTTTAAAATAATTTTTAAAATTTAACTTTATTTATTTCAATTTGACAAGAGAGGGACAGAGAAAGAGAGAGAGTGAGATAAAGTGAAAAAGAAAGCTACCAAGTCCAGGGCTTGAACCATCGTCGGCCATGTAGGAGTCAAGCGCCCCTAACCACCACACCACCTGCTGACCCCCTTATTTTTTATTTTTAAAAGAGATATTTGATTTAGGGTCCGTAAGCTCATCAGAGAGACAGAGAGTGAGAAATCACCCCTTGGGGGGATAGCCATGCCACAATCCCTTCTCCTTCATCCTCTTGGGGTTTTAGGCACAAATGCACAGGTGCCTGGCATGAGTTTTAAGCCGCCGGGTCTGGGACTCAAATTGCAGTCGACTACATGGAAGTCCAGCAATGTAACTATTACGCTAACTACTGGTTTATCATATTATTTAAAAAAAATTTTTTTTTTAAGTTTGCTGGTGGGCATATTTGGGGCAGGGATGAAAAAGCACCCCACAATGGGGTGTGATCACACTGTAATCTATTTTCCATCCTGTCAGGATTTGGATAATCCCATGCACCCAAGGTGTTTTATAAATCACTGGCACTGGGATTCAGACTTTGGTCAACCACGTGGATTCATCTCCCAAC